CGGACACGTTAAATGAGCCGAATGCGTGTGAACGGAAGACTTTTTTGATTAGGACGAATTCGGTCCGTTTGCGTTTGCGCTCCCGTGTAAATGGGGTCTTAAAGAATGGTGTTCATTTCGTAAACTAATGTCCAATTAGGAGTAAATAGACCATAAAGCAGGGTATGGCTTGTTAAAGACGGATGTTGTTCAGTATTGGTGCTCTCTGTGTTTTCGCCTTCCAAATTTGACCCTGATGGGCGACTGTAGCTGCGAGGAAGTGCGGTCGTCTCTCAACCAGAAGGTTGTGGGTTCGATCCCAGCCAGAGTAGTCAACATGTCGATGTATCCTTGGGCGAGAAACTGAACCCTGAGTTGCTCCCGATGGCCAACGGTGTGTGAGTGTGTGTGAATGTTAGCTTCCCTAGAGCAAGTCGTACTGCTCTTTATGAAGGAGGTGTGAACGGGAGAATGACTCGTAAGTGCTTTGAGGGGTCGTATAGACCTGTTAAAGCACTATAAGTACAGTCAATTAACCATTGACAGTTCATCAAAGTCAATTTGACCATGTTTGTTACCTAAAATACATTATTTTTTTAGCATTCTGTTGTACTTAGCTTCTCGTGTCACATCTGGTCAATTTAAAACAAGATGGCGATGCGATAAACCCCAATTTATGGCTTCAAAACCTCAGCCCACGAACCAATATGTTTATGTTGCAACTAGCAATTGATTTGAATGAATGATTTGTATACAAGTTAGTTTCTGAGTTTAGTCAATGACATTTTTATCCCAGTTTCCAAAAGTCCACAGTAATGTCTTGAGCTTTTTAGTTCTGTCTGTTGAAAACCCAAAACATTTCCATGTTCATGTGATGAAAAACAGATACATCTCCATATTTGTATGGGTAAAAAACTGCATTTTATGGCTTTTTAGCATGCAGTTTTTTTATTATTGTCAACTGACCCATCATTGCAGCTCCGGCTTCAAACTCAGTCTCCGTATCCACGCCTTCGCTCAATTTTCTTGATTAACGTACATCAACAGAAATGACCTCACCCTTTTGTATGTAACTATCCTGTGAAGTCAGCCCAGTTCCCCCCGAATGAGCCACTTCTCCCCCCCCCCACGCCTCTGATAAACAGTGGGCAGCCTTCAGTCTGATGGGCTGACAGGCCGAGAGCTGATCACTGAACCAGACCTGACCTCCGCCTTTGTCCGAGCCTGGCCTTTGTCATGGCTGCTTAATGAGAGGTGGATAAATGAACCCCCAAATATCCCGTTTGCCAGTTGAAGAAACCACAATGGCCGCCCCCTCTCCCCCCTCCTCCCTCCTCCTTCTCTATGGCCATCAACACATTTCAACAGATTGTTATGCCGTGAGTTGTTTTACTAAAGCATTGAAATGTTTATGGAAACTTCTCAACATGTATCTTACAGCGATGCTAATGATTCTACAGCAGAGTAACTTTACATGTCATTTAGCTGCTGTTGGTGTAGCCCAATATGGTGTCCAACAGTTTCATGGTCCCAAGCTAGCTTAAATATCATCTCCAAATGTAAGACCTGTCACTTCAAAACAAGAATACAGACTATTCTGTTCCCCTGCATTAACCAAACTGAGAAACAGGTCATTTGAATGAGCAAAACCACGTAGAGAATGCTCTCAAAGCTAGCTACTTAGCTGAACTCGTAGCCAAATTGAGAGACTATTAAATTAACATTATGTATGCTGTAGTCACAGGTGGAAGAATTAATCAGATCTTGTACTAGAACAAATCTAATTAGTTTATTTGGCTGTATTAGGCTAAACTTAAACTGGGATTTCCTTTTCTTGTCAAGGTTTTATATTCTAATGTAGCGTCTACACTACTTTGACTTCTATCATGACAACTTTAACGATTGACTGTTAGCCTCATTAGCATAATTAGCCCTGATGAAGTGTTTCCCACAGACGTGTTGACTAACAGGGTCCCTTTGATTGTATGTCTCCTTTATCCACACTTTTTACTAAGTAAAAGTAAAGAAAATCTGAACTTTGGATATTTTATTTTTTGTTTGACTTGCAATACATGACACAGCAACTTGATGAAACTAATTATTGCCCATTGATACTTCAACATGTTGAATGTAAGGACTGGGATTGAACTGGTGAACGTCCGATTGGTAGACAACAGATCGCCCCCAAATCCTATTTCCTTCTAATTTGAACCCCACTTTTTACACAAAAGATGGCAGAGTTAATACTTATACTTCTACCTTTCTGTTATTGACAACGTATGCAACACTACTTGAACGATGTTTGTTACCTGAAGAAGGTTGAGATAAGGTCTGTGACTGATCTGATAGGAGGATAATCATCTTTGTACTTTGTTTAATCAAATTACTTACTGGTTAAACTAATATAGTCATCTCTTGACATGGAGTTAAAGACTAAATTCTTCTCTGTCTCGTGTATTTTTCTGTTGTTGAAAGTGACATACAGACATATTATGGAGGATAATGAATGAATGGGAGGAGAGGAATTAATTGATTCATCTTTAAGTCTTATTATGCATATGCAAATTGTACAGTGTGCACTGAATCAACAACTTCCTGTTTTAAGCTGAATGGCGTTTTTTCTGCAACAGTGATGAGTCCAAGTGGTTCCATCAATACTCAAGATTTTAGAAACTTCACATCACAAAGGTCTTGGCATTGTGCTCGCCAAATGTCAAGTGTACCTGATTAGTTATTATGGAGGAAATCCATAAACGGCAGGCCTGTAAAAAGCTTAAAAATGGCACAGTAAATTGAAAATGGCGTAACTTCCCGTTAGGTTTACAACGTCCCACAAGAGAGTCCTACTTACTTCCTAGCTGGCGTTATTCAGCCATTTTGATTAACCAAATCCTGTTTTAATGGATTATGAACTGAGACAGTTGAAGGTAAATCCTTTTAACAGTAAATATAATCAGATGTTGTTAGAGCTGCTGCTTTTATCCTAATCCAGTGTTGGGAATTAACTTAATTTGAAGTCTAGTACTCCACTGTCTAACGTTAAAAACTCTTATATTGTATGTGATGGATGTGGTTTACATAAAAAGAAAGGGAACATTGTGGTTTATCTTTGTGGAAGATCAATGCTGGAAAACAACTTTTTCTAAATCTGATTAGGAATGTTTTCGTGCTTCCTTGAAGTTCATGGGATTGCCTGCTCCACTGACCTACAGTAGCCCATTGTTGCAGATGTCAAAGTAATGTCTGCTCTACCGAAAAAAACAGGCACTACATTCTTTAATACAAGGGTTGGGGAATAATGGATTACATTATGTAGTTAGGATGCAAAAAAAGTTATCTGTATTTAATTACAGTCACATAAGGAAAATCTGATTAGTGTTAGATGTTATCTCTTCCCTGTAAACTGTGCTGTTCTGTAGGATAATACTTTAAGTCTGAATCTATACGCCTCCTGCCTGAATCTGCTTTATGGTTTTCACTTTCTTTGGATTATTTGTTGTGTTTTTAAGTCAGTAGGTGAACCCATATGTTCATAAAGTAGTGTGTGTGAGCTTAACTGTGTGTATTCAGCTCAGATTTTATTTCAGCTTGTTTGAACTGTAGTATGTGCTCATGTGTTTCATTGTCGGTGTATAGGCTACTGCCTGGATATGCTGAATGAAAGGCAGGTTTTCCTATAAAAACAATCTGAAACATTTCTGATCCTAAATATCTTGGTTTCTTCTTTTCTAAGGTCAGAATAGCCGCTTTCACACTTTGCCGTACTTAGTTCCCAGTACTTAGTTCCCAGCACTTAGTTCCCAGCACTTCCCCATGGAACTAAGAGCCGATCGCGTTCACACCGGAATAAGTTCCCTGAGGGAAGATTACGCAAATGAAGCCGCTGACGTCACTTCTTCTTCTTCTGCTTTTGGGTCTACTGGCAGGCCGCAAACAACTTCACTGCGTATAGGCCTACTGCCACCCGAAGTCAAAACTTTTCCGAGTTTTACGGGGCGGGGTTTGCAATTCGCCCAGCCAATCAGAAATTGGAACTTTTTTTTCTTTCTACCTGCTCTCTAGCAGGGGGGTAAAAGTTCTCATGAACTAAGTTCTCTTTTCGGTGTTAACGCAAAATCCCAGGAACTATCGGAACAAATGGGAAAAGTACTCCGGTGTGAAAGCGCCTATTGTTATGTTGTCTTATATGATACACTTCAGTAAAAAACATCTTGTTGATATTTATTGGATTTATCTGCATTGCATTTGATATTGAAGTAATCCAAAAGTAGCAGAAAGTAATCAGATAACTTTGATATCGTGATACTCAGATAAGAATCCTTTTTTTTTGCATGTCTATACGTAGTTGTTGTAACAGATAACATTTGCAAAGTAACCTTCCCAACCCCGTTCATTTCACATTTCCACCCTTTTAACACATGTAATTTCTTCTCTGCTCAGATACCGGCTTATTCACCAACAAGTGTGATGAAGAGCTAAGTGAGCTGAGGAAGAGTGTGGAGAGTGACGAGGGAAATTCTCCGGACCCCTGCATGGACGAACAGCCGAAGAAGAAGCACCGGAGGAACCGAACCACCTTCACCACCTACCAGCTGCACGAGCTGGAGCGAGCCTTTGAGAAATCCCACTACCCCGACGTCTACAGCCGCGAAGAGCTGGCCATGAAGGTCAACCTCCCCGAGGTCCGAGTGCAGGTAAGAGGAACCACATCACATGCATCCAGTAGTGGAGAGTAGATGAGTACATTAATTTCAGTACAAATCAATGTATGCCACTTCACCCCACCTCAATTCAGAGGGAAATATTGATCTTTGAGAATCAGAATCAAGTTTATTGCCAGTTTACACAAACAATGAATTTGCTCTGGTGGCCGACAGGTGCTCTACAACGGCCCAAAAACACTTCCATTAGGAGAAACACACTGCAGCTTCAGAAACTATTTAAATATAAAAATACAGAAGTGCCAAAACACATGCAATGAAGAAACATCGTCCCCAACTTGAGAAACATGCCTTTACTAAAAGCGCTGCACACATGTTGCATACAAAATGCGGCAAAAAGCTCGAAACCCAACTGAAACCAGGGGAAACTAGAAAGTCACGCACACCGCTGGGACCGGAGCACTTGGTGACGTTCAGGATTATAAAGTTGGACAACTGTCTCTGTTGTTGGAAACGTACCTAATATGTTTTATGGGCTTATTTTAACAATGTGATCACATGACTCCGTCTGATATTACTGCAGATCTGTTCTAAGCTGGCTAGCTAACGTAGCTAACCTAATCATTTCAAATATACTGACAAACACTTGTATTTTATAAGTTAAATGTTATTTGAAGTTTATAACGGTCTGAAGTAAACTGATTAAGAGGTAGTGGAGTTGAAGTAAAACATTCATACA